AAACCATTATCCACCCGTTCCTAATGAAAATATCCTAGAAGCAAATGTTATGATGTTTTTCACTGATTCGTCATCCCGCCAAAGAAGCGGCGAAATAGGCTGCACCCTTTCAAACGACCATCTGCTCAGTGCTATCGATAGTGCTTTCTGTCGCAGAAGGAAACGCTCGTAAACTCCCTTGCAACCAAGACTCATGCACAGCTACAACTTTCCTCATCCAAAGTAATTTTTTGCTAACCTCTGGTTTATATAACACTCATAGCCCTGTCGACATTTCAAATTCAATGGGTACATTGATTCTTACATAACCCGAAGATATCCACCAAAACGCATTTGGTCAGCCTTTAGGATAGCTAGTGCATCATCTCTAAGTGCTACCCATAGTCACTTATATGTCGAACAAACGGCGTTTTTTTATATAAAGGTGTAGGTTTTATGCATGTTGCGTCGTCTAAGGGTAGAATATGAAGTCGGGGCCCGGCAGCGCTAGGCAAGACTGTAGCCAGAAATAGGTTCTGTTGAGCACATTTCTACACTACGTTGTGTTAGAACAGTGGCATCGTCTCCAATCGTAATTTCAGGAATGTATTCGACTCTGTCAGCCGGTATGGTCTTTTCAACATAACCCCATAACAATACGGCGTTGTGTTTATTCTAAATGAGAACCTAGTCAACCTGAATTATGCAAACGACATTGTCTTCGTTTTAGAAAAAAAGGTAGAAAGCGCGGGTGTCGCTAGGAGAACTGACTAGGATCATTCGGCATTTCGGCATGTGCTTTGCACCCCAAAAGTGCGAAGTCATTCCGCAAAAGTTCAGTCTTTCTGACTCAAAAAACTCAAAGGTTGAAAATGGAAGAGGGGGAGCACTGCATTTTTTCCAGCGTTGCGCCATCCTTGAAAGTTTTGTGACACACACATCAATCGATTGCGCCGTCAGTTTGCGTTACTTGTGATAAAAAAAACATATTTTGCATCATAGGACACATTTATCATATTACATTGCCAGCCACGAGAATTGGTCGGAAGATTTGGGACAATCGATGTCTCTTAACCGTAACTGGATTTGGGTGAAATCAGCAAACTCGCACTGAGATTATTACGAATGGGTTGTTTGATGAAGCATACGATATTTCTTTCAAAAATGAATCCATCAATGCAAATGCCGGTTGAGTTACTGTCTTCCGAGATAAGCGTTGCTTTCCGAACCTGACTGAGGGTGGTGAGAATATCATTTGACATAAGGGAAAAGAATTTTACGAAAATTCTGTAGGGCAGTTAGACACCACTATTCTTCTCTAGCATAATTGTCAGCGAAGGGAACTTCGGACGTTATTCCATTTAGGTTTCATTTAAACCACTATTGTAATGTACCCACCTACTGTGAGTAAAATAATGTATATTTCCTCTTCTATCTTACGATTGTATAGTCGAGCCCAGAATCGTTGGGAAAAGGCGAGCCTTGGGGGGCAGATTTAGTCTATCTTGGTGCACCTTTGTAAATAACCGCATCCAACTGATTGCAGTTTTTACCTGTCCGCGGTGGCCTGAGCAGCCGGTAGCAGTGTTTTGATATAAATGAATCAGTTTACAACTTAAATGGTGAGTTCTCACACCTTTCCGAAACAACACACTGCATATTCCCACTATCAAACTGGACATATTCAATCATGCGACAAAGCGAACGATGATTGACGTCAGTCAAACAAAGCCTCGTAATGGAAAATACTATCCCCTTTGGGCGATATTTACAGTTTTGCAAGATCCAGATTCCTATCCTTTTGTGTCAACCAGGGTGGTCTCCATTAGGTTTTTGAGCTGATCAACGCATAAGCCATTAGGAAATGCTCACAAATCTGCAATTTTTCCATCCATTGCCTTTTATTTAGATAGTTTTCTGTATTCGGTGTTGCATTTAATGTCAAAATTCAATAATAGCCTCCGTTGCACAGTTACCTTTCACGCAACAATAGTTTGTCCAAAATCACGCCGTCAGTGGAAAACCTGGATTAGTGAGACCCGTTTAAATCTTTTCAGACAACTGTTTGCGTACACCGTTACAGTTGGCTTAGCACATGCTAAAACTTGTGTTGTCGCCCACTCACTCTGTCATCCCTCTGGACATGCCGATGGCCTTCATCCCTTCATTCCTTTTTTCCAGGTCTGTCGGATCCTTTTGTGGTTGTCGACCTCCTGCCGCGGCACATATTCAAAGTATCTCCCAGGCAAATGAGGACCAGGATTGTAAAAAACAGCCTAGACCCTATTTTCAACGAACAATTTGAATTGTAAGTATGGCTGTGGTGCTAAACAGGACCTGATTTTTTGTGAATACATTGAAGGGTTATGCAGTCTTACACACCGAGCCCACAAATTCAAGAAAGATCAATGACTTCACTAAAAATCGCCTACGCAGCTTGAAATATTCACCATAAAAAATTTATAAAAATATTTTAGTCCTTGAACTTGACAGAGTGCAGCAGTTGCCGGTTGTCGGTTAATTACCCAGTGACAGCGTCACTCAGCCATTGCGTTGAAATGTTACAACGCACTACAGAAATTCACACCAAGAAAACATGGCTTTGTTTTCGACAAAGATTCTCATTTTTATAGCACTTTATTCCCCCACGAGAGACTCAGCGAAATCTCTTGTTTATTATATTCTCTAAATGAATGTGCTGCTCAGAGGCCCTCTAACGTTTGCGTTGGTACTATATTTGAGATATGGTGTATAGTTTTACAGAGAAACTACTCACAGACGAGTTTTCAAGCCGAGTCACCTGTGAAAACCTAAGCGGCATCCAAATGAATGTGTCTGTTGAAATCTTACGGCTTGGATTCAAGTAGAACATAAGACTGAAGGAAACTCGGGAGCTTCACTTACCTCATGAACCTTAAGAGGGGCGAGGCTGGTCGTAGGCTGTCGAAGTGTTCTTAGCAAACTTGTGAGTAGCTTCTTCCATTAAAATGGAAGGATGGAGGGATGATGCCAGGTTCAGGAAAGTAAAGTGTTAACGTTTTGTCAGTTTGTACACGTTCAGCAAGTCCACCGGACAGCATCTTCTGTAGGACTTTTTCTTTGCTCTGCGCCTGACGAGCCAGTTTCTTGCTACCATGACCGAATCTGGCAATATAGTCCTTCATGGAAGAAATTTGATCCTGTCCCCATTTATATCGCTCTTCTCTTCTTGTTCTCTTCCAATTCAAGACGAGTGCGAACATATTGATCGTAGTTGCCCTAAAAGTAGGAGAGTTTGTGCCGGTGCATCAACACAATGTTCGTGCAAACACCGTTGAGGAAATTCTGTGAATGCGATATGATCACCAGACATCGTGGGTAGTTGATCAGTTCACGTTCCAACCACACACAAGCATTCAACTCGAGGTGATTTGTGGGCTCATCGAGCAGAAGTAGGGCTGGTGGAACAAACTTCTGTCAGCAGCTGCCATGCCCATACGCACGCTTCCTTTTTGAAGTAATCACCAAACGACCAATTGCCCAACATTTCGAAGAGTGTGTGGTGATACACGTCGCAACCAACGTTGTCAAGATCCTTGTGCTTTCCACCAGCTCGAATGCATTTGTGTGTGTTCACAGTGCGTTTCCATCCCGCCATTTCAGTGTTCGGATCAACCGTTCCCTGAAAAATTGGCTTAAACTTTTGAAGAATCTGTACATGAAACTCCTTGTACGACTGCATGGTAGACACATTTAAAGGAAGTCAAACCACATTTTCACCGCAAATGTAACATTCAATTACAACTGGGGGAAGAAACGTGACTAGTCTTTAGGTCAATGATTAACATACTTAACTCTAAATTTTTGAGTAATTTCAGGAATTGATTCGGAGCGGTTGGAATCAAATGCAATCATGGATTTAGTTCTTGCAAAACTAAGAAGCTTATTTTGGATTTGATTTATAAAGGCGATTTGCCAGGGAGATGGACCCCACAAGCGAGGGAAACAATGGTGGTCTTCCCTACAATAGAGGGCTTTTCTTGTGACAACAGTGCACTAATATGATATGATTCCATAACATGATTCCATGACATTTCATTCACACTCTTTTGTGCACCACACTATATAGTGAAGAAAATTGGCTCCTCAAAAACAACCTGGCTGCGCTTGTGTTGAAGGGGTTCATAGCTCATGCATGGTGGACAACCAGTTACCACTCTCCACAGCACATCATTACACTAAACCAGTAGTATTAAGTTCATGTTCTACGTGACTCTTAGATGCATGTCTTCACTCAGACTTTTAATTCCGTCAGAATATTTGACACCGAAGCACTTAGCCGGATCAAACAGCTGTATTTCAACGATTTTCACCCGTTGGATTACACAGTAGCCCCGTTTTCCTTAGTGCGATGTCCAGACAAGAGAACACATAAAGGACTGCTGTATTAATCCACGACTTTGTGAACAGGCTAGATGCGTCGTGTCCCGTCATTCCATCGTACATCTGAGAAGATAATCCTAGCCGGTGTACCATTGACAGTAAACGACGGTAACTTTCGGATGGTTTACATAGGTATTTACGTGAAAGTATTTCACCGGTAGACAAGAGTGGACGCCATTTGTAGTGGTTATAGCTCAGCTTCCACGTTTGAGCGAACCATTGTTGTCCGTCAGTGACCATATTCACCAGGTTCAGTCCAACTGAGGGTCCTTGGATGGCGCCAAGTGTGAACAGTAAAGCATCGACAACCTTCAGCATTTTTCAAATTGAAAGATTATTTTAACGCCTAATTAATCCACTGCCAGAATACCGAGATGAATGTGATATTCTCTTTGGAAATCGGATGTCACGTTTACTGCTTTCAAAGCATGTGAGATTTGGTATTTTCCTCCTCTTAACACTCGCATTTCCCGTAAATGTTAAAAACTTCACCTTCTATAATTTCTTAGGTAGTTATGTGAAATAATCTTATTTTTTCATTTTAGTACCGTTTCTGCTTTTATAGTTCACTTCTGTAACAGTGGTGAACCTGAGAATTTTTTCACTTGATAGCAGCACATTTTCAGCATGACTGAATCGATTCAACCCAATCAAGGGGACTTGTGGAATTTTATTGAATTTTACTGAGGCTTCAACCTCAGTAGTGGAGGAACTTGAGGCTCATTGGTAGAGGTTATTTCGCCCTGATCACTCTCTGGATTGATGTAGTATTAGGAGTGTTTGTTCATAAAAGAGGTTGAAACACTGTCAAAAATGCTGTCTATGTTCCGTGGTTTAACTTGAAGTTGTCCTCAGCCAACGTTGTAAATATTTCCGTGATCTAGTGGAAATCTTATTATGTTTGCTTTCTGTAATAATAATAAAACAGTTCGTCTGCAACGTGAGTTCGAGGTGTTCAAGGAGCCGAAAATGATTGATAGCAAGCAAGCTGATGACCATGAGGTAATGGAAATAAAGGGGCAGTGACTGCTCCAGGTCTGGTTGGCGTGAGGGTGGAATAAGTAGTGTATGGTATATTAAAGTGTAGACAGTGTGGGTCGGTGAGCCATGCGTATCGTTTGACGTCATAGATGAAATCCGGGTAAGTTTTTTCCATTGATGCTGTGGAACTAGTGAGTATACCAGGAAGCAAATATGTGTGGGGATCAATGCCTTTAGAATGCTGATAGCCGAATACCTTTCATGTAAATACATGCACATTGACAGTTTTCATCTAAAGCATACCAGAAATATAAACTACCAAAGTGCTGAGCTGATCGACGGCTCGCCTTCTCGCACATATCACTAAAAATCTGATTCAGATCATTTCGTTAGCGTCACTGAAAAGGATGCTCCTCAAAAAGACGCTCTTTTGGGACATCATTTCATATGAGAAGCCAAAATTTTAACACCGACGGAGAAGTAAATAATGACTGTTTGAATCAATAGCGCCTTAAGTCGCACACCTTACCTGGTGATTTTTGACGTTCAAATTTTCAACCAAAGTATTGCAAACAAATCCGGCTCTTGCAGGCGAGTCCTAATATACTGCTAATATAGTACTATACTACTAGTATCTGCCAGTGCTTATACAATTCACCTTTCTTTCTATTCATGGAATTTTCCTCAGTGTTCTAGAACCCTGAAAAAATACCTTTCGGCACAAAAGGTTTAGCCCTTTTGGTGCACCAAGCGATAGTTTTCCAGCTGATATCTCCTTTGCCAAGTGCAAACACCAGGGAAACAATTTAGTTTTTAGCATTTTTGATCTACGCCTCCGAATTCTTTACCCTAAAATGAAGATATCCCTTTGCATTCTTTGCTGTAGTGTATTATGAGGCCATAAACAAGTTGTTTTTCACATTTTAGGACAGATAAGTAAGCTTTTGGGAATCTTAAAAAACACAAGCATTTTGGTCAAGCTCTAGACCACTTGCCAATTTTGACCCGAATATTTCTTATGACTATGAAAAATTCATGTCCGCTCCGTCTAATGCTTCAACTCACACTGATTTTTCACCCCAAAATCTAAATGTCGCCAGTACTGCAACTGAAGTTGAACTGCGACACCCTTCAGCGTGTCTGGCTTTTGTGATAATGGATCACGACATTCTGTTGTCCGATGATTTGGAAGGAGTCTCGTTCCTGCGTTTATCTACCCTTTTCGAACCGAGACGTGAAGGTAGCTGCAGGCAGGGCCCTTCGCTCAACTGTGTCTTGCCAGTTTTACATCCCACACATAAAAGTGAGTGGCAGCATTACATGGTTTAACTTGTATCATGGTCCATCAGGTATATTTATCAGACCACCAAGGATAATAGTGTATTTTTATGTATGTCGGGTCGTTATTTCTGTGAACTTTCCTCAGCGACCACATCTTGTTTGCCTCCTTGAGTTGTACAACCGGAGGACAATGGAAAGTGGTTACTTCGGTTCCAGGTGTCCACAAAGTTTCACACGGCAATTTGAGTAAACCAGTGACCCTCAGTCATGGACATCCACTGTAGTATGTTAGTAAAACGGTGAGTGCTACAGAAGAAACAGAGTAAAATTTACTATCCTCTCTAACCCAATCACACAGATACAAACCCTGAGAAGGGCAGCTGGTGATTTTCCACAGGTATAGTTTTTGGAAAGAGCTTTGCTTGAGATAAAATAGTCGCTTTCGGTAACGGTGGTTTTAGACTTTTAAACGTTTTGTCACACCTAACCGCAACTAGTCTTTTGTTCATTTATGCATATGGGGTGCCTACGTAAGTGAAAACTATTCGTATTCGCCAAATCTCTATTGGGTTGCACGTTGTTGATCCTGTCAGTACGACTGCTTTGTTGATATCACCTACGGTGATGCATCATTCTACCGAAAATCCTACGTCACGATGAGATATAATCCTGTCAAGATCGCATCCCATTTTCCATACATTCATCTTGCAAAAGATGTTTCCTCCTGACCTACCTCGTACGATTTTCATAGATGTATACATTTCAACAACACATCGCCACTTACGAACAAACATATGCACGTCCAATATTGACACTGTCGTGATGCATTTTTGTATCCGTTTTGGTTACGAGGTCTATTTATAATGATGCTGATAGCGGAGGATTGATAGGGTTGATCTCGATGAGATGCGGAGAGCTGAACTTAATCCAACAACGATAGTGATGTGTACGGTCGATGTGGCAGAACGAAGCTCACTTCGCTGATGTATGACGGCAATGAAAAAAGACTGTTTACCCATGTATTCACTCTAACGACTTCACAAAAGCACGTGATTATAAGTTGGGTTAGGACCAACTGTATTCTTATGCGAGTACCGGGCTTAGATAAAAAATATGTATAACTTGCACTTCATGAACTAATAAGGTATGACCTTTGCAAACAGCATGGATGTTAATCCTCTTGGACATAGTAAGTAAACTAAGATTGTCAATGGGATCAAATTTTATGTCTCTTAGTGCTACCTCCCTTAAGGATTATTGTTCGTGTGCAAACAGAGAGACAGAGAAACGGGAAAACGGAACAGCACCCGTCACTTACAGACAAATTAAGATTTAATTGGGCTTTGTAATGGGAGTGAAGTTTTGTTGTAAAAAGACATCTCGCAATTATGCTTAGTAACATCGTCTGACAGAAAAAGGCGCGCTTGAATGGAATGAGCTGTATCGCGGTCCTCAGTAATAACCACGCCGGATATGGCCATAGTTCAAGGCCCTCTGGCCCACAACTTAAAGCCGTAACGAATCCTGCACGGGGGGTAGATGAATTCAACCGACCGTGGACATTTTTGTAACAGCTCCGTTGATACAGAATCCATTCTGCACATGGGCTTTACCTCCGCCCACTCTTTGTTTGCTGGCAAGGGCTGTACTCTATGGTGGGACTCCATAAATTTTCTCACATCAACAGAAGTCACCAGCACTTGAATCGTCATGACAACGTTTGGGACTGGCTGCTGGTATCAACAGTGTTTCATTTTTTATCCGTCAAGCTTTGTGAGTAAATGCATTCAGAGCACAAATGAGTGTGTACAACTTTGTCTGATGTGTTTCTTATTCAGAGAAATATTTCTCTGGATAATGGCTTATTCATAGTAAGAATTTTTACACAAAAGGCAAGGCGTACCCGATTCTACTTTATTGGCCACTCATTCAAAATCGCTATCTAGAGGTTGTGCCAAAGACCAAAGGAATCCATATATTACGAAAACAAACACCAAATTCATCCAACAAAATAAGTGTGACTTCCGCGCTTCGACATGCACACGAAGTAGTGACAAACGATTAGATGTTAGGAATTTGCACAAGGTAAGGTTTCAGTTTTGCGTTCTGCCATGACTGACGCACGAGGAATGCATCTGTCACTCTGACATCCAACAGAAAACCTACATAGTATCTTTCGACAATAAGAAACCGGAGTGCCAAAATCCAATCAAACGATCATTTCAGTCAAAAATGGAAAAATAAATCTTTGGAATTTCGGTTATCGGGCTTAGTGCCTCAAAGTTACCTCTTAAAAATACCTTATAGATCTGCTTCATTGCACGGCCATAACCACTCCGTATTGCATTAGTCGTAGAAAAACCTTGACCTGATTGCCATATTCATATACACAAGTGAAGTCACTAATTCCGTTAATTAACGGAGGACTAAACGTGGCTATTCCCTACGGGAAGATCTGCGGCTAGCTAGAATAGGCTGAAATATTGTAATTCTTTCGTCACACCCATTTTGAAATTCAGTCTTTTTATCAACGGCCCTGGAGTTATTTGAGAAGTTCAACAACGTTTTGCGCAACTAATGTCCATCTACTGTGAACTGTACTCAAGCTTATTCTCGTGGTGATTTGATGAACACACTTCTCTCACGTTTTTAGAGTACAGTGCATTTCGCGTGCTGAGTCAGCGCACAGATCAGTATGCACAGGAAGTCTACAAACGGTGGCAGCCCGTGGAGCAAGACGGCTCTAGCTAGTGGCACCTCACAAATCAATTTTGCTATGTCCTATCCAGAGTATGTGAGTGTGTCGGTTTAAACGACGATCTACTTTGCTCTTCAGATCTTTTATTAAATAATCAATAATTGAGGCACACTTTTGGATTATTTTCTGTCTTGATCTGTCAGCAACTTACCGTAGCCGACACAACTTTTGATGAACGCGCATATTGTCGACGATTGTGCAAACTAACCAAAGCTGATGATGCACACCAACTAAGTTGGCGACATGGTGTTCCTTCCCTTTGTTGTACACTCCCTATTTTCGCGTTGTTTTTTTTGTCATCTTGAAAGTGGTAATCCGAATACCCACTGATTGTGGCTGAATTGTAATAAAGTACAAATACACTGATTTCTCTAAGGATTTCAGCTGTGACTGCTGTGGAGAGTCATGTGATGAGTGATGAGTGGATTAAACTAAAAAGTACTAGATTTTAATGAGGACTGCGAGCAGTTCCAGGCGTGTTGAAGGGCACCATCATTGCTATTTGAAGAACTCGCCCTTAAGATAGTGATGGTTCTAACCAGGGATTTGGTAGCCGTGCAGAGCTAATCCTCATTTCCATACACTTTTGTGAAGCCATGTAACAATCAACCAAAGCCTGTATAAGAAACCACAAAAAGACTGACGCGTCACTATTTATGTGCATGTTAAATCCTGCCTCGCAGATAATTTGAGGGTCGCTTGATCCAGCTATAAATACCCACCGAATTGACTGCATGAAAAACAATAATTCACCAGAAAAATATCAGTCATCACACCGGTTGTCGCTTTCAGGAGGGCAATTTTGTATCTGGGACTTTGATCGACTATGCAGCAGGTTAAATTATAACTCTGAAATCATGTGACACTATTTATTTCCGCTTGACAAAAAAGAAACCAATAAAACCCAAAACTCACTGTTTTATGTCCACTGAACGAAAGAACAGCGAGAGAAAACTTTGATTCGAACTCATCTGTAGTTTTCAGGCGTCCTCGTGTTTACTCAACTTCTTGGTCACCGGACGACATTAGTGAGATAACTAATTTCTACCGTTGCCTTGAGTTTGGAAAAGCATACCGATATATTTTCTGATCACTGCTGGAGCGCTCAAAAGCACAACACTTCGGTTGTCAATATGCATATGTCTGCGGATTCCGTACTGTTGAGTAAGCTTGATTATACAATTACTACAAGTGAACCATACCTCCGGTATGGCAGGTGCTGCTTGCCAATAGACAAAGGATTAAGGCTATTCCATGGTAGGTAGTCAGGCTTGCGTTGTCTAACATCAAAGAAAAAGCCAACTGACATTAGCCCGGTGACCTTAGATGGTTTTCACAATCGCTTACGCATCTTCGGCAGCATCACCTTTTTAAAAGTTGTGTTTCCTTTTTTGGTCAAATGCAGTGTGAATTAATCGAAAAAGCGCTTAGTTAGATCGCTGGCTATCAGAAGGTGAACTTGAGCAACTGTTGCTTTCAGTACAATATGATATACGCACCTAGTCTGAAATTTAAGCAGAGATTGAACCTCAATAATTTGAACCAACATTCTATGTAAGTCCTCCTTCCATTCATTCATTTGACTGATTTTAGAGGCGAAACAGAGCTCCGGTAGTGGGTGAATCATCCACGGTCGTGAAAGGATAATGGGCAAGTGCATACACTTGGGTATAACGCGTCAGACAGATCAGCTCTGCGGAGGTACGCAAATGCCCGACAGGTTTATCATACCATCCACGCTACCAGGTTCGCAAGCTGTAGAACCATCCAGCTGTTCTACTCCTGGCTTGGGCGTTCATGAAATCCAGCTACCAGATATCATTTCCCGTGCAGTGAGAAGCCTAGCCGTAAATACAACTCAATCAGATCAAGTAGGCGTACGACAAGAGATCTCGTAACAAATCAACGAAGCAATATTGGATGAATATAGATCCTAAGGCTGTAGAATAAGGAATAAGGAACTAAGTCGAGCCACTCGATGACACAACTACGAAGTAGCATATGCTTATATCAACATGACAGGCCGCAATGTTACACTCTATGTTGTATGTTGGAGGTTGGTGAGTAGAATGAGAAAAATTACTCATTTGGCGTTTATTTGCTTGGAATAATGCTTATGGATCCACTGGTTGTCCGGTATCCAAGGCAGATTTCATTCGAATGCACAGAACATAGGAGAAACTGGTGCAACAACATGCATAGTGAAAGCCTATGGAAGCATTACCCTGTGTGGCGGAACTTAGTGGCCCCAGTTATGATGGTTGTTGATGGTGCGGTGTAGCCTGAGCCGTATAGGCCATAATGATCCAAGATCTATGGTTAGGTGGTTGAGGCGGAAAAAGAAAGGCCCGGGTTGTTAGAGTAACCTTTTGCTAGAGAGCGCTGAAAGTTTTCACTTGCTTTTCCGCAAATTTGAATGTAAAGGCCCACTGCTTAAAAATTACGATTTCGTATGCTCGGCGACTTGGAACTGGGTTCGATCGGAAAGTTAAGGCACGAGGATATCTGTGACCGCGGTCTCTGATCTCAATGAAACAAGACTCAGACCTTGGACTAACTGCGAACTCATCAGCTGCTAGAAAGCGGCAACTGGAGGTTATCTGAAATCTCCCGTAAGAGACACCTAAACCAGAAGCGCTTGACAAGCGTGTCAGAGCGTTTAGTTCAAATTGTATCTGGCGAAGGAATAAGAGCTTTATTAGACAAGTAGAATGTGTAGCCAAAACGCAAGCAACAAGGGTTTGCTGTGAGACATGGCATCGAATACATTGTCTATATACGGCAGGAGCTTATTAGAACCCAGCGGAATACCGTGAATGACTTCACTAGTGACCGATGTTGGAGATGACAGTCTACCACCGATTTGGGTGACTTGGATCCTAGTAGGCATATAGGAGGTGGGCCATTGAAATGGGAATCCCATGATGCCAGTGAAACCAAGTTTCTGCGGCAGGGTTGCATGAGGGACCTGGTCAGGAGCCGTTTTGGATAGCCAGTGAGGCTATTAGAATGAATTGCACACAACATGAGCCCCTAGGATGATGTCATGGAACTGGAGTTATTTAATTCTCACGGAGCCAAGGGTCAGAAATCCGCACTGCATGGCATTTGAACGTGGGGAAATGTTTGAAGTGAGCACTGAACTAGACGTTCTAGCGTCATCATGAGATGAAAGTTATGATCAATTTCCAAAAGGATGAAGGTAGTAAATCTGGATTCAGATTTGAAATGAGTGAAGGTAAGGGCTGTTCCCATTGGCAGGGAGGAGGCAAATGAGAGTCTCTGAGATAGAGAACGGGACATTTTGACTACCGCTTCTCAGGTTACAGAAAAATCATCTTATCACGATTGGACGCTGCCTTGAAAGCTTTGATTAAGGGGGATATCGTCTAGTGTGGCAGTCACGGTGATGGGAAACTGGTAGCCTGTGGTTTGAATTATGGGCCAGAAAGCATTTTGTAGCAGTCGATAAAGTACAAGCAGCAGGATAGGAGATCGGTAGCTTTCGACGGCACTTGAAGAGGTTATCGAGTTGTTTATTGAGGTACAATGCATAAGAAACGGGTGGCCGAGAAATTCCGGGAAGATGAATGGCGTAAAGAAAGTGTATTCTCTTCAATATATTCAAGAGGTATGCTGAGGATTGCTTGATCGGTTGTGAGTTATGAGGAGTGGTAATAAAAACTTACCAGGTTACAAGTATTTTCTACTAGCCCTGTGTATTCATATGTGAAAAATTCTAAGGGGCTTTATTGGTATGATGGGTCGAGGTAGAAACATTCTTGAGGAAAGCTATCAGGAACCGTTTACATGTTGCGGAATGTGTATACTTGTGGGGAGAAAGATTTTGCTCCCCTCCCAGGAAGCCAGCAAAGAGTACCTACCAGAAGAATCCCTGGCGGGATAAGTAACCGGAAGGCTCATCAAGCGATTGGACGCCGCTGGCTAGAAGTACACCCAAATTATTTTCGCCGGAGCTTTAGGGTCTTCGAAATTTTGACTTAAACGGTGAGCTATCCCAATCCATTTGCAGCTCCCGGTAACATTTCGCTCATGGCATTTTGTTTAACTGGGCGAAATGTCAAGGTGACAGACCATCACCGAATCGCATTTTGTTAGCGGTTTACGCGGTATTGGCCGGGCAAACGCAGTTTAGCAGATTTTGGAGTTCTTCGGTGTTCATTAGGTCCAAAAAACATCCGAAGATTATTTAAGGCAAATTCCACCCTGGAAGATCGGTCATAGACCTTTGTTTGCTCTATGCTCCTTAGATTTAACAATTGAGATTATTTTGTTCGGCGAGCCTGTTAACAACACGTTTTCTCATGGATCCCATTGTACGGCAGCCTAATCAAGCGAACAACGACGGTTCCTTATGCTCATAACTCTGCGCGTTGTCACTCATTTCGAATACCTATTGTAACTGCTAGGCCTACGTCTATGTGCGATGCTGATTATGGGACCCCACCTACGCACAGTAACATAATCCAGTGGCCAACGGCGGTCTTTCATGCCTATATATATATATATATATATAATGCCGTTTATCTATGTTGCCTTTAGTAAGCACTAGGCCAGTATTGACACGGGCCGTCAAAAATACTACCTCGACCATTCTTGAGAGCTCAGTCTGATGGTCTGTCATACTCATTGCTGTACCCGATGTCGTCTTACTTGGATACTTATCGTACCTGCTGGATCTGTGCCCATGTGCGGGGTTAACCGGTAAACTAATCCAACCTCATACTCACAACCGTATGCTATATTGCCAACCTTGGCTACTTTTTGAAACTCTTAGGCCACCGCCTGTATGCGACGCTGATTATTAGGCCTCAACTATGCGCAGTGTCCCAGTCTAACTGCCAAAGATGATCCGTCATACCCATAAATGTGAGCGCTCTTATGTCTGCTAGTTATAGTAAACACCAGGCCAGCATCAATCCGAGCGGAAAAAATGAGACCCTATCTGTGCATGATATCGTAACATCACAGT